GAGCAAGCGTGCGTACTTGGCATTGTAGCCAGGCATGCTGGGCATCAGACCAGGTGACCGTTCGGGGAACAGATAGGAGAGGGGATTACGCATCGACCATCCGTATTGCAACTGGTTTGGTCTCACACCGGTTGCAGAGTGAATGGAGTTGTTGTACAGTCCCTTCACTTTGTGCAACTCCTTGTCCCACATGTTCCGATATGGAATAATCAATGTGCGAAGTAGTTGGATGACAGTCTGGTTGATCTCCTCAGCCAGTCCATTGGCTTCGGGGTGTCGACCAGAAGTCTTGTTGAGTTAATGTCGTAGATCTGAGAAGTGAAGTCCTTCCAATCTTTACTAATGAATCGGGTGTCCCGATCACTCACAATGGTTTTCGGTTGGCCATACTGCAGAATATACTGCTGATGGAACTCTTCGATGACAAGCTCGGTTGGGGCATGGGGAGGAAAAGGAATCAGATTCAGAAATTTGGAGAAACGATCCACTATGACCATGACTTGTGAATTCCCTGCTTCACTCACCTTTCCCATGTCCGTGAAGTCGATGGAAATCGACTCACCGGGCCCATCAAGAATGGGGAGGGGTCTCGGCAGGCCATAAGGCTTATGCCTGTGGACCTTGGTTCTTTGACATGCTTGACATTCAGTGATGAATTTCTTAGCAGATCCTTTCATTCCTGGCCAATCAAACTGCTGGAGAAGACTTCCATTCACTATGTATATGGGACGCTGGACCCGCTTTCCAGCAGGTGACGCTCCCCACCAATAGATGGAGCCTCCCCCCCCGTGCCAGCGGTGTCTGCTCTTACCAGCACTTCTAGCACTGGTGAGGGTTGTCTTGGGAAAAAAAAAAAAAAAAAAAGTATTCTCAAAGCCGAAATGTCCACTCCGACCATGTGCCAAATCCAAGAAATGATTTCGGAGAGGCGCATGGTTGGGTACACACAAGCGATCAAACTTCCCATACCGGCGGAATACAAGACCCTCGCATTCATGAAAATCAGGCTAACTGCTAGGGTCAGCCTTGAGCTGCTCAAGGATGGGACTAAGGTCCGGATCCTTGGCAGTGTGTTCGACTAGATCCTCCTTCAGTTTCCTTCGGAGGTCATACGAACCCACAAGGCAAGTCAAAAACTCAGGATGGCGGGACAGAGCATCAGCAACACGATTATAACAGCCTTTCTTGTGTTTCAACTCAAAATTATAGACATCAATGTCATGCAACCAGTGGGTCAGTGTAGGAGAGAGATCAGTTTGTGTCTTGATCCACTGCAAGGTCAGATGATCTGAGTAGACCTTGAAGTGACGACCCAGGAGGTAGTGCTTCCAATGTGTGAGCGCCTCGCGCAAGGCGTAGAGGTCACGCATATACGTGGAAGTAGCTACCTTATGGCTGGGCATGCGTTTGCTGTAATACTCAAGCGGACGCAGGCCATCACCATCATCTTGTCGCAGCACTGCACCAATCCCAAACTGGCTCGCGTCCGTAGTAACTACGAATGTGAGGTTGGGATCCGCAATGCGGAGCACAGGATGACTCACCAAAGCCTCTTTCAAGGCTTGGAACGCAGTCTCACACTTCTCACACTACGCATAGGCAATATTCTTACTGGTTAGTCTTGAGAGTGGGTGAGCAATGACAGAAAATTTTGGCACAAACTTCCGGTAGTACGAAGCCAAACCAAGAAAAGAACGCAGTTCGCGTACGTTCGCTGGTTGAGGCCACTTTCAGATGACCTCAACCTTGGTTGCCTCCGGCTCAAGGCCGTTTGCAGACAACCGGTGCCCAAGATAGATGACGCTGTCCCTTCCAAACTCAGATTTCTCTAAGTTGAGGTGCAGTTGTGCCTCCTTGAGGACTTGCAAGACCTCCTCAAGGTGTTGACGTGCTCTTCCATGGACTTGCTGAAAATCAGGATATCGTCAAGGTACACAACCACAAACCTGTTGAGCTGATGGCGGAGTACCTTGTCCATGAGGCACTGAAATGTGGCTGGCGCATTCGTAAAACCGAAGGGCATAACGATGAATTCGTACAGCCCATCGCGTGTTTTGAATGCAGTTTTGTGCTGGTCACTCGGACCAACTTCAATCTGGTGGTAACCAGACTTGAGGTCGATCTTGGAGAAGACCTTGCACCCTCCTGCCGCATCAGATCATCTATACGAGGCAAGGGATACGCATTCTTTCGGGTGATACGGTTTAGGCCACGATAGTCAATGCACATCCGGAGTTTGCCTCCTTTCTTCGGCACAAACAGGACAGGTTCACCGAACTCAGGCTCACTAAGCCTAATCCATCCACGGTCGATCATGTCATCAATCTGCCTCCTCAACTCCTCCAACTTGCCTTGTCCCATACGGTAGACGCAGCCCTTTGGAGGAACACTCCCTTCTATTATCTCGATCTTGTGTTTGATCGGACGCTCGAGAACTCCACGAGGTTCGGCCAGAACTTCAAGGAATCGATCTAATAACCGGCGAATGTTTGTTGGGACTTCTGGTGGAGGATCATCCTCGTCAGGAGAAAGAAAATCAGATTGAGAATTTACAGCAATTATAACCGGATTTGAAGTACTTGGATCAGAAGTTGAGGGATTATTCACAGTAGAAGTAGATGGATTAGAAGTAGAGGTTCTACTGTGAATAATCCCTCTACTTCTGATCCAAGTACTTCAAATCCGGTTGTAATTGCTGTAAATTCTCAATCTGATTTTTTTACAGCAATTACAACCGGATTTGAAGTACTTGGATCAGAAGTAGAGGGATTATTCACAGTAGAAGTAGATGGATTAGAAGTAGAGGTAGGAAATGCAGCAAAAGTAGAAGGCACATGGAGAGGCTTTACAAAGGCTATATGTACATGCTCAACTTCCTTGCGCCTGCGCACTGATTTGCAGAATTTGTTTGCACTTAGAAGAGTCACAGGGGACTCGTGCGTCTCATCCAATAAGACGGTACGCTCGTTCCCCTTCGCATCACGCACCACGAACTAATTGTCCGCCCACGCGGTCCTTAGGCAATGAGCCTTTAGCCAGCCCAAGCCAATGACCGCGTCGAACGGACACTTGTCCATGACATAAAAGTTGAGCTCATGTGTGACAGTGCGGTCCTTGTCAAAGGTGACGCGCACGCCTTTGACAGCATGTGTGGAGGTGACAACCTCTTGGTTGCCCACCAGGGTCTGACAAGGGTTCTGCAGTTCCACTTGCTTCATTCCTAGGCCCGCCTTACGAATCCCGTTAGGAGAAAAGAAATTGGTGCTTGAACCACTATCAATCAGCACGAGGACGTATCGGCGGTCAATGAGCAGTTTAAAGAAGGTTAGCTCCACACTCCCTTGAACACGGCGTTGCTGCTTGAGCTGCAGCCAATGTTCCAGGTGAGCGTGGAAGTCAACTTCCTTAGACTCCTCCCAAGGCTCAGTGTATAGCACATGAAACGCAGTAGGCTTGGATTCAGTGTCGTTTCGGGCTTCAAGGGTAAACTGTTGATTAGATCTAGGCTCATTGGAGGGGCCTGCAACTGATGGCTCAGCTTCCCTTGTTGTAGAGGGTGCAGATGACTCTTCTACGCCCTTTGCTTGTTTCCCTGCAGACGATAGCAGTCCTGCACAACATGCCTAGGCTTTTGACAATGCAAGCATACGCGCAGTTTGGATCTTCTTTCCCATTCTTTCTGACTGATACGGAGGGCTTCCCAAGGCTTGGTTGAAGCGTCCTCCGGTTTCTCAGGGATTTTCGCATTCTTGGGGAGGTGTGCAATGGTTCCCCTACCCGAACCACGGTTAGGCCCCTTAGTTGAAGCAGTCTTTTTGAAAGCATTAAGTTTTTCATCTTCGTTCACGTCAGACTCAATGGCTGATGTAGAACAGCCCATATCGGAGTTCGACTCTAGATCGTCATCTAGTGACAGATCATCCGCGTAAGACTGATCTTCAACCTCCCGATGTTCATGCAGGGCAAGCTGGTTGCTGCTTCCATACCGCTTGCGTTGTGGTTGTCCACCTGCAGCGGGCGCCTTCTTACGCCTGGCGAGGTCCTTGGCCTCTAGGTTGACAAGATCCGTCATGAGCTTTCGCCAAGTGGTATGGTCTTTAAGTGCTAACAGGGAGAGGTATTCTTTAGGGGCCACTCCCATGACTACATCCATGCAAGACACGTCGGTCATTCCCAGGTCTGGAGTGGTGAACAGACCAGTCAAGTGCTGTTCCAAAGCCTGCATGGAGGACCTCCATGTTTGGCCCTTGAGGGCCTCAAACTTCAGCTTTGCCTTTAGCGCAACGTGCTTATCTTGGTACCGTGTGATGAGAAGGTCCTCAAGGGTGCGTACAGAAGTTACCTTCAGCAACTCAGTCAGGTCAATTCTTTCATAACTTGCAGCAATAGCTTGGAGCTCAATGTGATTCTGTACGGCGGGCTCAGTATTAGTGCCCATGATCATGCTTCGGTCTTCCTGCGGTGTCCGCATAACCTCGAAGTATGAGCGCATGGAACTAATCCAAGAGGTGATATACGCTTTCCCGTCGTACTTGGACGACAAAGTGGCCGCCCGCTTGTGCACTACGGGACTGCTGTACTGTACGCTAGTAAGGACTGTGGCGTTTTGGGCTGATGTCCCTGCATTTGAGACTATGACTAGTGCAGAACTGTCGGCGCTGCCGCTTGAGGAGCTGGCACCGGTTCCTGCGCTCGTCACAGTTCCACTTACTCTTGCCATGAGGACTGTGTTAGATTGAGAGACTGGGACTGCAGTAGGTTGAGGGTTAGGAGGGCGGGGGGCAGACAGTTGGGACTGTTTGAGGCTGATTATCTCAGCCTGCAGCTCTTGGTTCCGCTGCTCCAGTGCTGTTACACGGGACTCAAGGTCTTCCAAGTTCCGCAGTCGAACCAAGGCTGCTACGACAACAGCTAGCCTCTCTTGGAACCGGTCAGCATTGGCTTCCGGGACCTGAAGGAGGGCCACTTGATCAGCTATGCTTGTGGCTCTGGCTGCTGCCTCTGCCTCCCTTTCCCTCTGCGCGGCATCATCATAAAGCTTTTGGAAAAACGGTTTCTCGTTCTCGTCTACTGCGTCCAGCATGGCCTTCCATTGGGAAGATGTGATGTCTGCCATGCCGGAGGAAGGGGTGTTAGTAGATCTCTCAAGAGGGGTCCGTTCTCTCCTTACGTTTGGACGAACACTCCTCTTGCCCTTCCTCACACTCTCAAACAGAACACCTTCTCTCTCTCTTCTCTTTCTTCCCGTTGTCTGCGCACGTGTCTCAATACCGGACATATATAGTTCAAATGAAAGAAACAAACAGAAAATCACACAGAGTAGAAGGTAGAACTCCTAGCCGGAGCGGCAATTCATTTGGACTCAGAGAATGGCACGCAACAGAATAAAGAAAATAATAAAAAAAATAAAACGGAAGAGAGGACTGACTTATCGAATGGGACCGATCAGATTAGTTGGAGATCCCCTCTTGTCTAACCTGAGATGGGGACATGTACCACAATAAATCAGCCGAAGAAAACTAACTGCAGCAATGGAGATTTCGAGGGGTGCATACGGTCGCTGAGCCAGACGCGGGGCAGTATGTGCTAACATGCAGTAAAACCAGTCAAGATCCCCTTGAAAGGAATGCCCTTGCTAACCGTATGTCCCCCAAGTTCAGCATAGTAAAGAGATGCACAGGCGGCAACAGATTTGGGCCTGAAAGGTCCTGTCCCGTTGGGCCTGGTCTCACTGGGTCCCTAGGGGTCCCAAGTAGGTCGTGGACCAGGACCAACGAGATAGGGGTACCAAGTCAGTCCCAAACTGCCTCTACCGTACTGAAAAGGAAAAGACAACTTTCAGCAAAAACTTACCCCTACAGCCGTTCAGAAATGAAAAGAAATTGCACCGTAGAAAGATATGTCATTTAGAACAGATACATCATCCATCCATCCATCCATCCGGTGAGAAAGCAATCCACATGCTCACACACACAGCCAAGACCGCAGAGAAGAGGAAGAGAGCCCAACACACCCCAACAGGCCATGAAGTACCAAGCAACCTCCCACGGGCATAACCACGTCACACGACACTTACCTGTGAGGCCCGACCTCCAAAGATGGATAACGACTCACCCCCCTCTCTCATAAGTCCTCCTGACCCCTAGCTACCACTACACGAAGTGTCCTAGCATGGCTAAGAGGGCCTTCCTACACCCTTGTTGCAACGCCGGATCCCCCGTCGATGTCTGAAGACCAAAGTAGCAACTTGCAGCAATTCGATGCAGATATGGCAGCCTCCGATCAAGTCTCCCTCTTGAGGGGAAGCCCAAAAGTCACTCAACGTCTTCTTGGAGTGCAGATTCCAGGTGCGAGTACCTCTCACTCTCTACTCCATCTCGCTTACTCCAATCAGCCTCCTTTGTGTCTCGCCACCCCATCGAGTCACTCAAGCAACCTGGTCAGGTCTGATGTCGACCCTACATGACCTAACCAGGTGGGGGCAGTATCCACATACCTCACTGCCCCACTTAACCCTAACTTCCTAACCCTAATCCGAGACTAGGTTAGCCCTAACCTAACTCGGAATTAGGTTTAGGGTGGCTAACACCTCTCGCCAGCAAGTAAGTCCGCTCTGATACCAATTGTTACGATCCTGGTCATTTCCCAAGTGCAATTTCACAATGAAAGACAATGCCACTCAATTGCGAAAGAAATGAAAGCACTTGCAAAGAGATAGAGACCAGAGGAGAGATAAAGAAGAAGAAGAAGAGAAGATGTGCACCAGCAAGACCAATGACAATTCCCCCTTCTCTCTCCACCTTCCTCCTCCTCCTTCACTTCGTTAATCTTATTCTTCTCCCAACAATAATAATAACAATGAATGGATGAACCAGAATCAATATCCGAAGTTCCCTCTTACTGCTGACTCAACTCAACAACAACAACAACAACAACAAGTCCACCATAGCTATGGGTACCCTCCTTCAGCCTCCTCGCACATGCATAGGCTATGGCGGACTACTGAGGACCTTGCCCTCCTGTCCAAAGACAACCCAAAGCAGCTATGGTGCTGCGCTGATGTCCAAAGGACAACCCAAAGCAGCAATGGTGCTGCGCTGATGTCCAAAGGACTACCCAAAGCAGCTATGGTGCTGCGCTGATGTCCAAAGGACTACCCAAAGCCACTATGCCGCTGCTGACTTGGTCCGCCATGCCTGACTCTGCCTCGAGCTTCCTTGAGCTTCCTTGGTGTAGCGCTACCCCAACTGGGGCCTTCCAAATGCAGCGCCCAACAAGGTGTTGAAGACGGTGTCCACCATAGCCAGGTAGGTGCCTCGCCACTCTACTACCTTGCCCCCTTCATAGCCAGGCTGAGCTCCAGCGGCCCTTCACCTCCAAGCCACGCTGTACCAGCCAGCGCTGTGCTCCAGCAGCATGTCGCCAATCCTTGCACACCGCAAATGAGGAAGAACTCTTTGCTCTTCCTGGAGATATAGCGGCCTACCGGCCTCCCGGGCACTGACTTCCTAGGCCGAGCGGCCTCCCAGCAACCGGTACCTCCTCCCTTTCGGAGCGAAACATCATTGCAGGCTCTGCTATCCGCCGTACAGGCCCTAGACCAGGGCTACTTGGACTGGTACCGGCCTACCGCTATCCTACCGCTACCGGGCCTCTAAAAATGCCAACTTTTGTCTTCTTCTGCTCGGCCTCCAGTACCCGACACTCCTACCACTACTTGAGTGGTACCGGCCTACCTGCTACCTGAGTGTTTTTCCCCGCTGTTCTAAGTGTCGCGGGCCTACCCCCGCTACTTGAGTGTTGACCCCCCTGCAACCCTCAAAGTCACGGCCACAGGTAAGTACCGGCCCTGCGGGGCCTTTCAACCAACAAGTACCCTTGCGGGTCATACACACACTCAACCGACAAGCACTCAGACAGGCCTGCAAACCAGCAGGCACGCACACACACAGACTTGGAAACCACAGCAGAATGCGGGAATCACGGCAAGGCATTCATTCCAGTGGCAAATCCCAAAAATCAGCAGTGTTCTCAGTCTGTGTTTTTGGCGGGTCATTACATAAAATAAATTTAAATATAAATCAGAATCTATTTTTTTAAAAGTAATTACCTCTTCAAGCGTTTATTTTTGAAAATTT